GCAAAAAATAATTGATATAGGAAGTGGTTATTGTGCTTGTGCTTGGGTGAATGTGTTTTGTATATACATTTCTATTCTTATTTGACGTTAGTTTTGTTGTTGCCATTGTTTGGACTAAAAATTTGTTTTTTTGCGTTCCTTTACTTTTTCCTTTTATTCTCGTTTAGTGAGTGCTTACGCTCTGACATTCTGACACTTTTCAGATTTTAGTCCAAAAAGATAAGGAATGAACCTTTTGCGTGTGCTTTTGGAAATTTATTAGAGGTATTCACGATCCGGTGCATATGGTCTAGCATGGGGCATAGATAGCATAAATAGCATGATTGTGGCTGTTTCATGTATTCAAACAACAACAAAATTAGTCAGTCATGCTATCTACGCACCGTTCTGGACAGTACGCACCGAAGGGCAAATTTTATTTTTGAGAAAAGAAAATGCTATAAGTGTGGCAACGTTAAAGGCCCTACAGTCTCATTGATTTATCTGCGAAATAAGCCGCATGTAGGCAAGTTGGTCAACCTTTAGGAAATGAAAACTGTTTACTTAAAACTTTACGGACTTTTGAAAACTGTCATTTAGTTGGTACCTTGGTGCCTGCTGAGCGCCTTTTTTCAAAAGCTGGTGCCACAGCCACCAAGAAACGCAACCGCTTAACAACAAAACGCTTTCAAAAACTTAAATAATAATAGTCGGACTGGTCTCTCTTTTCTGTTATTCATGACTAATTAGTAATTTTTGCAGTCTGAGGTGAATAATAAACTTCTAAAGTAATCTTTGTGTGCACTTCTTCATAGAATTATAATTGCTTAGAAAATAAATGAGTACACAAAAAGCTTAATTAAAACTTTAGTAGTATATCAAATATTTAGAAAATGTCAATCAATTAGAGAAACTTCCAATGAAATAAATTTGTATTCATTATATCGTCACCTAAAATTCAAAATCACGTATCAAAGATCATCGTTTAAATCCAAAAAGTCNATTATATCGTCACCTAAAATTCAAAATCACGTATCAAAGATCATCGTTTAGATCCAAAAAGTCATAACCATGGTGGAATATTAACAAGGTGTTGTCAGTAGCGACGTGTTTGTTGTAATTTTGACAAGATCGGCATGCTTATTTTCAGTGCTGCCGATCTTAATTTTTATAGCTATTAGTTGGGAAATTGTATTTAAAATACTCCATTTTAGTAAATCATTTTATCGCGATTTTTAAAGAACTTGGTGTTTTCAGAACGATATTAATATTTAGAATTGCTGGATTTGTATAATTTTTGTCCTCAAAATATAAAATATAAAAGATATCGTAGTTATCAATGGAAAAAGACGTACACAAAAATCGTATGGAAAGGCGATTTTTTTATATTAAATATCTTTTGCTGCATTGTCATAATATCGAGCCAAATGGACTACTGATACACTAGAATAGAGCGGCAGCATGGTTAAATTACATGCAAAAACTGTGATATTTCAGTAAATGCTAAATGCAAATTGTTGAAAATTAGTATGTGGAGTAGAATTGTGGTGCAAAATAGTATTATGGAATTTTTGGAAAATGGGCGTGACCCCGCCCACTTATGATGAAATGCTGTATCTCAGTAGCCGCTTCACCAATCTGTACCAAACTCGGTATGAACCTTGAAATCGGGCAATAACCACGCCCACCTATCATATAACGGTAATATACAGAAACCCTAAAATTGCGATAAATCAGTAACTACTGAATCTAATTGACTCAAAATCGATAAATACAATAACCGCTTAGCAGCCAATTATATTATTATAAATTTTTGGATAACAGGCGTGGCGCCGCCCCCAATTCCTACCAAACTCGGTGCACTCAATACCCTTAGTACAGGGTGGCGCCGAATGAGCTACAGCGAAACCCGCTTAAGTACCCCCCCGCTTAAGTAACTAACATTTTTGGACACCATGAATTTTTTAATGTATTCTGAAGAAAATCCCTCTCTTAAGTACCTCCCCGCTTATGTACCCAACCCGTCTTAGTACCTCAATTTTTCATGCCCCATTTACAATTTTACTTATAATTTTCCCCTTTTAAGTGCTCTTTTAAAATTCCTTAAGAATTTATGTATTTTGAAATTCAGTAGCCTTCGGTAAAAAAATTCTAAAAAATCAACGGTAACTTTTAGTCACTTGAAACTTGCACATTGCACTAAAATTGAATGGGTTATAAAACTGTATACCCAAAAAACACTTCTGAGAAAAAAGTTTGGAATTATGATGATTTTTTTTTAAGTGTTCTACAAAATCTTAAGCTTAGGTTTATATTATATTTGTTAGGGAATGAACTGCATTTTAGTTGATTGAAAAATCTTAAAAATTAATAAATAAACATAAGTGGCAAACAATATTATTGTGAACTTGGTACAAAATGATATGCCCAACTTTGACTTTAAAAAAAAATAATTCTTGTAAAAATGATATACCATTGCACTAAATATTTTTTTTAATAAAGTTTTTCTTTACATGTTTATGTATTTACATAATGCTACGATTTTGGTTTTAAACTATGTATACTTCATTAAATGTTGTTATTCAAGTATTTATGTAAGTTAACAAGAAGATGTAACTACGTCAGTAATTATGTCCGCTTAAGTACCCGCATTGAGGTACTTAAGCGGGTTCTTTTAAGTACCCAACCCGCCTAAGTACCTTAAAAAGCCTGAGGTACTTAAGCGGGTTTTACTGTATATGGTTTAAATCGTTTATAACTTTTCTATTTATGCGATTATTATAATTTTTTTGTTTTAATACAGTATATTATTGGGGCATTTTTTGCAATTAGCTTTGAAAAATTATATCCTGTACGTGATGTCCCTTTTCTGCTTCGCACATACGTGCTCTTTTCAGCATATTTTCCATAACTTTTCGCAGAATTTCGGGTGTAATGGCCATGATTTCATTTCGAATGTTGGTTTGGAGTTGGAGAATGGTTCTTGGTTTGTTAACGTACACTCTTTCTTTCAAATATCCCCAAAGAAAACGGTTAAAAAGAATTCAAACCATAAAGCTCATTCGGCGCCACCCAGTATTATAACCAAAAATTTGAGGTTTGTTTGGCCGAAATTACGATTTTTTCAAGGTAAAATGACGATTTTTCAGTAAAAGCATTCGACAACGCTGCCGGCAGGTCATTTCCAGGCGTGGATCCCGTTGGCATAGAGTAAAAAAAAAGCTGTTATCAAGAATTCAAACCATATAGCTCATTCGGCGCCACCCAGTACAAGAAAGAAATTCGTTGAAAATTATTCAGATCGGACTAAAAGTACACCCACTTAAATTTAAGACATCCGAAAACTCCGATATTTCAATAACTGAGGACCCTAATTTACGCCAAGTTAATAGTTAGTCTCCGTGACACCGCCCACTTTATAAGCTCGGTTTCGCCCGAACTTATACTTATTTACTTGTCTTTGTTTAGAATATATGTAATAAATACCATTAAAAAATAAAAAATATGTTAATAGGTCGCCCTTCTCTAGAGTTCCGGAAATGAATAACGTCCACCTTGAAATGAAACTTTTTAACGTAGATTTTTAATCTGATTCCGAATATCATAATGGTTTCTCTGGGTCAGACCTAGTTCCTGAGATATCGGTGAAAATATGAAAAAACCCATAGTTGCGACACATTACATCACATATGTGCATCGAAAAGTTGTATTTGTCATCGCATCGGTTTTATATCTGAGAGAGATTTGTAAAGGAGACTCCAATAAAAGTTGTTTGTCTTTATAGTCATAAATCACACAAGTGGTTTGGTCACTATAGAAAAAAACATAGAGAAAATGTAAAAAAAATCGTTACTTTTTATAAAGTTTCAGATACGACCGCCTGAAATCAGAAAAAGTGTTCGGACGAAACAACCTATGCTAAAGAGCATTGGATGTATTTTCGATTTTATACTTTTGATTTTCTACATTGCGGAAAATTCAAAAATCAAAACCTACCATAATTTTTAAGAAACAGCTTAACAGGGGCGAGGTTAAAACTGAGATATACATAAATGTGCACAAAAAAAATTAGGATTTACCATTGAGATTTTATCCATTTCGTGACATCCACCAAAATATTTTGGCTAAACTCGCAGTTAATCGTGAGTTGGACCGCGTTGAAAATGTATCTGAAAATTGTTATTTTTTACGGAAGAAAATTTAAATTTCAAAGTTTTCCGTATCGCTAGTGGAAAAAGTTTAAATCTACTTAAAAACTGTATGTTTAAAATAATGATATTTCAAATGAAATTTTACGAAAATTTCGTAACCCAGTTGCCGCGAAAATTGAAATAACTCAGCTTATTAACAACACATATTTGTTATCAATTATTTTTTTGGTGAACTAATCCATTCACATGCCATAAGGTGGAATTGTATCAATGCTTAAAATATTAAAAAAAAAAATTAAATTAAATAAGTGCATTCTAATTTAGTAAGGAAAACTTGACGAAGACATTTCAGGGATTTCGGACAAAAATACGTGAAATACAAAAAAGTAGTTAAAGATAGCAACTATTTCCAATCACGCCGAAATCGCCCAATATTATTTGTTTTTAAATTTGTTCAGCAGCATAACATCTTTCACCCTATTCATCTCTCTTGCACGGTGCACGGTTTGCAAAGCTGTCCCATAGGAAACCCGGTTTTAAAGCTCCAGAGAATACCCCTATTATGGATATCATGGCACTGCAAAACATTTTAATGATTTCTCGGTAGTAGGTAGGTAAATATTATAATAAAGTTCACTCAAAATCGGTACGCATGAAATGGGTTATATCTTTTTAATAGGTTTTCATGTTAAAATAAAGGGAAATCATTCCGTTATAGATACATGTTAGCGAATGTTTCATATTTTGCTTGGATAAATAAATAAGAGACAATTTCTTTGATAATGATAAAATTTTTCTGAACAGCCGTTCTAGGGACTTGTGTAGTCAACTTGCTCTACTAAACTATCTTTAGTTTATGTTTTTCCACAGCTCGCATATCTCTACTAATTCTGTATGGATGGTTAGAATACTTGTGGTGTAGTGGTAAGCAGAGCGCGCTGAAATTGCGCAGGGTCTGGATTCCGAGCAACATAAAAAAAAACACGAAGAAGAAAGTTTTTTTCTAATATCGGTCGCCTCTTGGCAGGCAATGGCAAACCTCCGAGTGTATTTCCGCCATGAAAACATCTTCTCATAAAAATATAATCGCCGTTCGGAGTCGGCGTGAAACTTTAGGTCCCTCCACTTTGTGTGACAACATCAAGGCGCACGCCACTCTTATTTATCCAAATTTTGAGGTAATAATACAAAATTTTCAGTTTAAATATTAATTTTTGTCGTAGTCGTTTTTTCAAATGTATGGCTACTACTCATATGGGTTTTGCCTAAATATCCCAGAATTTTATATAAAATGAGAACTGTTAACTTTGAGGTGGCATAAAATTAAAAAAAAAAAAACACTAATAAATTTTTTTTGCTATAATACGTGTCTTCTTATTTGTCATAACCTATCAGAAACATACTATGAGACCCCAGGGATTAATCATTTTTTTCCATTTTGTTGCACTGTGTCATCTTTCCAAACGAACTTCGCGCCTCATTAGTACACCGTAAACGATCGGCTCTCTATCTTATATTTATTAAAAACTCTTGCTCAAGCTTTTATGCTCTTGCCATAGCTTAGGCTAACAACTATTCCCCAGTTCAGGTTAGTTTTAAAATTTGCTTCGTAAATAGTATAGTAAAAAAAAGTGACGCGGAAGAAAAAGCAAAGGAGAACGAATAACCAACTGATCGTTGTTTTTGTAGCAAACCAGTTGGTGGATATACGCAATGACATGCTGACGTTGACTTAGCACAATACATTGCTTGGATTTGTATCTACGTGTACATATTCATATACATCCATACATACATACATATGTACATATGTACAGAGATATATTTCTTGCGTACATACTTGGGAAATAATTTTGGATTTATTTTTGTTATATTTACAGAACGATGTTTTATCTGCAGTCCGGACCGACGACGCCTCTACTTTAGATCAACAGATTATAAAGCAAGGTGAAAAAATACGCGATCTTAAAGCCAAGAAAGTTTCCAAAGATAAAATCGATCCAGAAATACAAAAGCTTATAGCTCTTAAAGCTGATTACAAAGTAGCTACAGGCACAGAATGGAAACCAGGTCAAACAGCGGCTGTAAACATTGCTAATACAGGTTGTACTGTTGAGAAATCAGTCAGTGAAGATATTGTCAAGCTAGGAAATCTGATACGTGATTTAAAAGCGAAGAAGGCGTCAAAGACTGAAATAGACACTCAAGTTAAGGCGCTTCTTGATTTAAAGGCCAAATTCAAAGCATTAACTGGTAACGAGTGGAAGCCAGTTGATGTAGTTTCACCTTCTGCTCCACAATCAAAAAACAGTTCAGGTGTTGAGGAAGTACTCAAAAAAATTAATACACAAGGCGATAAAGTGCGCCAACTTAAATCACAAAAAGCTGACAAAGTGGTGGTTGAAGCGGAAGTAAAAACGCTACTAGCTCTTAAAACCGAATATAAAGAACTTACAGGAAGCGATTGGAAGCCAGGTGTTGTAGCACCAGCGACTATTAAGAAGGAGAAGTCTCCAGATCCACCATCAACTGTTGCAGTTAGAGATTTGCTAACGAAAATCAATGCTCAAGGGGATAAAGTGCGCAGTTTAAAGAACACTAAAGCGGAAAAAAATTTAATAGAAGATGAAGTCAAGCTGTTATTAGCACTCAAAACAGACTATAAGAGTCTTACAGGACAAGATTGGAAACCTGGGACAGCGCTTCCTCTTACAGCAGCTGATGGTCCCGTTAAAATTGACTTAACGCGCGACGAAAGCCCAGACGCCAATGCACTTCTAATACGAATTCAAGTTCAGGGCGAAAAGATACGAAAATTAAAATCCGAAAAATATCCAAAGCAAACGATTGACGCTGAAGTGCAGTCGTTATTAGCACTAAAGGCGGCTTATAAGCAACAAACCGGTACAGATTGGACACCCAACACCAAAGTTCAACCTAACGCAATTTCTGTCACCCAAAAATCTCCAGTAACTATGTCTTCTTCACCAGAAAAAGAGCTACTCACAAAGGAGATCAATGAACAGGGAGATAAAGTACGTGCCGCCAAATCTAATAACCTTCCTAAGGAGATGATTGATGCTGAAGTGAAAAAATTGCTGGCGCTCAAAGCGAAATACAAAGAAGTTACTGGAACTGACTTCCCAACCGCTGGCGGACGTGGCAGTAGCAGCTCCTCAAAGAAAGGAAGTGAAAAAAAGGCTCCAGCTACAAAGAAGGAAACAACAACATCAAAAGAAGAGACTGTTGCGAATGTGGCGGGGCTTAAAAAGCAAACCCGTTTGGGACTTGAAGCTACGAAAGAGGAGAATCTTCCCGACTGGTACTCACAAGTATGTAATGCTTTGTTTTTTTTTTATATGTATATGTAAACACAGCACATCGTTCGGTCCTAAAGCTCTAACCAAAATTGCAGCGGACGATAGTAAAGCAGCCGACGGTTAACCGCTGTCTATTCTGTTCGCTATGCCAAAAACTTGTACAAGTTGGTACCAATTGTTACTAAATCGCGTTCGTTCGGAGAAAAAAACTTGAAAAACTTGCAAGGAGAGAGCACAATTTTGACATTTCATTTAGAGGGAAAGCTGGAAATTCGTGGTGGGAAAATATTTGGCAGCAAGAATTTGCAAGCAAGATTGTGGCCCACGGTTGTATTTTTGTCACCAATAATTTGAATCAACAAGTTCGTTAAATTTAAAAATATGCAATCTTGCCGCGGTTTGGTATTGAAAGAAGTATGTAAATTTTGTTGTCGACACCACTGTCGATGTAGGAAATCCGACAGTGATTACAACAAAGAAATTCAAACGTATGTTGAAGAAGTCCGAATAAAAGAAATATACAGGCCGTAGAGCTGGCCGAGTAATTGGCGAAACTGTTTTAAAAATTTTTCTAACACCCTCAATTTCTTAACTTATTCTTAAAAAACCATTTTCGCATGACTTCCGGCACTAAAAAGTTTTTAGATCGGTTATTTTTGAACCAATTTTTAGTTTGAGGAAATATAAAGTTTGGTAAGTGCATTCTAATTATATGAAAAATTTGTGGAATCAATATAAAATTTGCACCAATTTTTATTATTTTTCCCACTTCCACAACATTTTTTGCTAAAATTTCAAAAGAAAGTAGTCTCTTTTAGTCATTACTTTTAAAAGAATGTTTAATTCCGAGTAAAACTAGGTACCATTCATTAAAATCAATAAACAGATTATAAAGTTATGACATTTTTCTTAAAGAGAAAAAGTCAAATTCAATTTTTCTGTAAAATTACATCGAAGTGATTTTGGAAAAATCTTGAAAAAATTCATAACATCCGAAATTGTTTATTGATTTTTTTAAATGGTACCTAGTTTTACTCGGAATTGAACATTCTTTTCGAAGTAATGACTGGAAGAGACTACTTCATTTTAAAATGTTGGAAAAAAAATAATGTGGAAGTGGGAAAAATAATAAAAAGTTGTGTTAACTTGAGACTTAATCCAAAAATTTTCCACACATTTGAGGGTGTTACACAAATTTAAAATGCAGTTTCGTGAATTACGCGACCAGCCCTACGACCATGGAATATAAACATATTTTTGTATGTACGATATCTTAACACTTAGATATTGCTTTGCAAAAACATTAAATTAGAAAGCTTGTTTGATTTTAAAAACGTTCTACGCCAATATTTTGCCTGCCCCTAAAAAAAAAAATCGTTTGCAAAGAACTGAAGCAGCAACTATGCAAAAGCGTTTTAAAGCGTATCTGTAAAGATCGGTTTTTACGTCACACGTTTGTGCCAAGAATATTTGGATCGCAATCCAAAATAAGAAATAGTAGCACTGACAAATTTAGTTCAATGAAAAGACCGAACTAGTGCACTAGTTTATTGAAATGAGCTAGTTCTTTAGTTCATTTAGTTAAAGAACTACCCAAGCCTAGCCCACAGTATTTTTGCGTAGAATTTCTTTATGCGTAGGCGGCCCACAGTGTGGAAATTGAACTTTTTTCGTGACAAAATCTAATACCTGAGAACCAGAATAGGTAACCAAATAACGGTAGCGGTATTTTAAAGAATTTGAGACGCAGAATTCAGAAAAAATAATCTCTTTGACCTTTAAAACATTGCACTGAAGCAAACTTTATAACCTTGGAAATAGGCTTATTGACTCAAAAAAAAAAAAAAAAATGGTTACAACTTTTTGAATAGTTCATTCCACATTTTTTTCAGTTAAAAAACAAGCCCGCTCCTCCTTAGCCGACCGTCCCTTTAACCATAGCCCATATAGGAAAGCCAACCCAATTAATCTTCAAACTGAATATAAGGATTATTATAACGAAGAGAAAAAACGAACAATCGGCAAAGCGGATCACGGTTGCTTTTTAATATCGAGAAACATTTCCAGAAATTTATTCCCTGTGTGAACCGCCAAAAAGTCTTCAGAGATTTCGCCTTTCGGAAAATAAAAACCTCTTTCGAAAGATACTTTACATGCAGGGTGTGACTCCTCATGCTTTCTGATATTTCGCATTTTGACAGCGTTTACGAAATATATTAGTTCTGTTCGCTATGCAAAAGCCAGTAACAAAATTTAGAGAATAAGGTATCTTACTCTCCCAAAGGGAGAAACTTGCTAAATTTTGCGTGAGCAGGAACTAGCAAACATTTGCAAGCTCCAGTGCCAGCTGGCGTCCACGGTTCCACTACGAACATAATATTTTTTTTAATTATTTCAAGTGGAAAACAAAACAGGACTTTCTTTCAGGTTTTTTTTCTTTTTCTGACTTTCTTCAACATACGCTTTAATTACTTCGCGGAAGTCACTATCGGATTTCTTGTATCAGCAGTGGTGTGGACTGCGTTCCGATTACGAATACAGCTTTTTAAGCCGAGTACCTTTCAAATCTTTGGAATTAATTAAATTAATTGAATAAACAAATATTTATATATGTAGCTACTTCTTTCATTAGTAAATCGCAACAAGATTGTTCATTTTTAAATTTAACGAATTTGTTGATTCAAATTATTGTTGACAAAAATGCAACGGTGTGCCACAATCCTGCTTGCAAATTCTTGCTGGCAAAAATTTTCTCAGCACGAATTTGCATCTTTCCCTCCAAATGAAATGTCAAAGTTGTGCACTCTCCTTGCAAGTTTTACCGGTTTTTTGCCAAACGAACACGATTTGGTAACAATTGGTACCAATTGCCACGTCAGACACCCTCTATACGTATGAGCAAATTGAAAGCAATTTTTTTAACTTGTTGAACGCAAAGTCTCACTTGTTTTGTTTTACTTGGACTCTACAAGCAGGGTTGCCACTGACGAAAAAAAAATACTTACCATCCACTTGAAGAAAAAAAACAAATCTGGAAAATATCTACCAATAACGATTTTTTAGTTAATTTAATAAAAACTATAGTTTTGTTATTTTTTAGTTATTTCAATAAAAATTAAAATTGTTTTTAAGGAACTTTTAATTTAACTATTTATACATAGCACAACAAAAAGCGAAAGTGATGAAACTACAGGCAACAACGAAACTTCATCATTTGAAAAAAATTCAACTGGAGTTTTTATAGACAAATACAGTGACTCAAAAAACGCTTGGTGATTTTTTTATATTCACAATGTTTTTCATGTAAAAATCAAGAATTCAAGCTAAAGACAACATTTAGAAAAATTCAAAAAAATGCAGGAGGAGCATAATTCCTTTTAAACTTGCTTAAATATTCTTTACCATACGTATGACCTGTCATGAAACGATTAATCAATTTGATGTCATAAACATTTAAAACGCATTTTTTATCGCTAACCCATGATGGCTTTTTAATGCCTTCAATGTTATCCGCAAAAAATCTCCCTTTCGTAGTACTTAGCACAGTGAACTCATTTTCGCATTCCAACCAACTTGGCTTACGGATTTTGCATAAAACTTCCCCCAATGTTAATTTCATCTTTACAATCGACCCATGTCCAACAGCGGCCTTAGCATGGAAATCCCCCTTTTTAATTTAGACCAATGCCTACATGACTGGGCACCCACATAACCCTGGCACGTTCACAAACTGAATTTGCAATCCTTCTGTGAATTGCAGCCACAATGAAATTAGATGTCATACTCTTATCTAATAGTTTAATAGAAGCCATACTGATGTTATTGGCACCGTCTGAGGGAATCATTGAGGATACCTTGCATTTTTTTGTTAAAACCAACAGGAGCATCAGCGTAGGTTGTATTAGAATTTTCAGCTTTGCTTCCCACTTATGACTTGTAAAAATTTATCGCCACTTTAGGCTCCAAACCCCCCTTAATTGTAGTTAACTTTTTAACTAGATTAATACTTGACGACGCAGTGCTCTTGACATTGACATGTTCCTTAATGGAACTGTTTGCACTTATGACTCTACCAAGCCACTTCAACCATCTAACCTGTAGCATATCCCTGCGACTACACCTAAGATTGAGCTCATTGTTTGCAAAATAGGTCAAACACATATATTTAATTTTGTTTACGTTAATCCGCAAATTTAGTCCCTCAGACTACCTTCCAATCCATGGACAGCATCTTTCATACGATCAAATTGCATGTCCCAGATTCTAATTTTTAACTTAGTGCGAACATTTCTGTGATGACTTCAGAAAAGGGCTGATTAACCAACATCGTGCTTTCTTTCTCGTAAGCCTGCTGCATTTTACGAGTTGGTTTAGCATTATATGAGCCTACAGCCTATTTGACTCTGACTGGCGAAAAGATGCTACTTTGTCTAAATATTCAGTTTGCGATTTCCATAATCTATGATTAACTTCTTATAATCTTTTCCTTTGATATGGCTTTATTATATTTTCCTTTAATAGGACTTTCGGCTACAGAAGTAGATGCAGAAGCTTCTAAAGATTCACCCCTCGCCCTTCCTTACCTCACATCACTCAATTCTTCTGTTTTCACTTAATTGCTTCCGTACACCCATCCTGAGTATTGAGAAGTCGCGAGTGGTTTCTGTGCTTTCGGCCTCACGACTGTTACTGTTGCGGATATCCATTACGGCGTCGTTGAGCTTATTTGTCCTGTCTTCTAACTCCAATCACAGAAATACATAAGTTACTTTGTTTATAAAGTTAACTTTTAGAATACATCAAACATTTTATTTCGCTCCTCATTTTTTAGGTCATTACAAAAGGGGAATTAATCGAATACTACGATGTCTCTGGTTGTTATATACTACGTCATTGGTCATTTGCAATTTGGAAGTTCATAAAATCGTGGTTCGATGCTGAGATCACCAAAATGGGTGTGAAAGAGTGTTATTTTCCTATTTTCGTTTCGCGAGCGGCACTCGAAAGGGAGAAGACTCATATCGACGATTTTGCGCCAGAAGTCGCATGGGTGACGAAATCCGGCGACTCTGACTTAGCTGAACCAATTGCTGTGCGACCTACCTCCGAAACCGTTATGTATCCGGCTTACGCAAAATGGATTCAATCCTACCGCGACTTGCCTCTTCGCCTAAACCAATGGAACAACGTTGTGGTAAGACTATTTTAGTATTAATACAAGTTTTTTTTTTTTTTTGTTATAATCTATATAGTATAAATTATTTATATTTTTGCGACTCAAATTGAACGTTATTTTCAGATTTTAATTGCGAGATTATAAATAATTTTAAGCGATCACAAGAGCGTAATACTATGTTCACGTTGAAAAATTAACTCGAGTTTAACGTTTTGAGTTTATGAACAACTGTCAATTGTTCTCATTGGGGTGTTTAAGAAACTTAGAATTTAATTTGACATTTGTTTGTCTACTTTTTCTTATTCACATTTAGCCTGTTCCCGTACTCCAGGGTTTAGACAGAAATAGTCCGAAGTAGCCGTGCTGTAGAATACCAACCGTTTAGCAAAAAGATAAAAAATAAAAAATGTGACTCGTTAGAAATTTTCACGCTGTTTTCAACCATACCAAGATTTAAAGGATTTTAAGCGATCACAAGACCGTAATCCTATGTTCACGTTGAAAAATTAACTCGAGTTTAACGTTTTGAGTTTATGAACAACTGTCAATTGTTCTCATTGGGGTGTTTAAGAAACTTAGAATTTAATTTGACATTTGTTTGTCTACTTTTTCTTATTCACATTTAGCCTGTTCCCGTACTCCAGGGTTTAGACAGAAATAGTCCGAAGTAGCCGTGCTGTAGAATACCAACCGTTTAGCAAAAAGATAAAAAATAAAAAATGTGACTCGTTAGAAATTTTCACGCTGTTTTCAACCATACCAAGATTTAAAGGATTTTAAGCGATCACAAGACCGTAATCCTATATTCACGTTGAAAAATTAACTCGAGTTTAACGTTTTGAGTTTATAAACAACTTTCAATTGTTCTCATTGGGGTGTTTAAGAAACTTAGTTTTTTAATTTGACATTTGTTTGTCTACTTTTTCTTATTCCCATTTAGCCTTTTCCCGTACTCCAGTGGCCGTGGTGTAGAATACCTACCGTTTAGCCAAAAAATAAAAAATAAAAATTGTGACTCGATAGAAATTTTCATGCTGATTTCAACCATACCAAGATTATTTGGCAAAAATAAAAACCAAATCCAATAAAAGGGTTGAAGTTAAAATTTTCTATTTTACAACGCTTTTATCAACTTGCAATGTTGTGTGTCCAGCAGAGTTGTGAAAAATGCATTAATTTTTTAACACATTAATGGTATTTAAAGCAATAATGTTAATGTAAAAAATTAATGCATTAATTTATGAAATTTAATGCAAATGAATATTTCATGCATTAATTCTGAAAAATGTAATGCTAGTGAAATTTTTTTTCATTAAATTATCGAAGCTAATGCTAATGAAAAAATTTTAATGCACTAAAATGCTTAATACCTTTGCTCGTTTGCATTATTAAAAACCATTAATTTTTTTTTTCTAGTAAAATATAAATAACCTATTTTGGAAGGACTTGGAATAATTACTAATAGTTTTTTCAGCTTCATTATATTATGTGTATTTGTAGAAAGATTCTTCTAAACATTGTTAGATGTTTTTTTTGAAAATGAAAGCCAATGTGCATGCAACGCAGAGTGCTTTTATAGATTTTTATGTTGATTGTTGATGCATACCGATTACATATATTAAGTATAAGCCAAAAACGGACAGATAGCCAGTTTATCAGCGCATGTACACGACTGAGCACCTACTCAGATCTAAATCAATCAATAAC